GATAACCGCGAATACACGTCGGCATTTTTACTCATTCAGTTTTCCATGAAATGAACATAGGACATTTGATAAGTTTATTCAGGAAAGCTACGTGGCTGACAGCACTTTAGCGCGCTTACTCTTACTCAAATACGTAGCTTTCTTGATATTCAACGCAGTACGCAAAGAAATCTTTAAAAAGCAGTTTTGCTTGTTTGACACCACAGCCATCCCCATTTTCTATTTTTCCTTTTCTATCAGCGCGCAAAGCTCTTCATAGTCGAGCATTTCACACCCAGTGGCCGTCATAGATCGTAAACGTGTATTTGCCACAGAGTGAGTCTCTCGACAGATATGTGCCACTTCCCACCACTCCCACAACTCACCACTATATTACGTCATTCACCCGCTTCAGCCTGCATCCTTCAACCCCCTAACATTGAATTTGACCTGCTGCTAAAACAATAAGCGAAGGTTTCATCGTAAGCCTCGCTGTTTTATCAGTCAGGCGGAGCTGGCTGAATCCTCCCGTCTGTTGTGACACAGTTAATGTGGACGCAGGCTCCGCATGCAGGCTGCCGAGGAAAGTGGAGGGAAATCAGTTGTCGAAATAAGAGACACACACGTGGCCTTGAGAGAGAAAAAGCTAACACGGCGCTTGTGCAACAACATCTGGCACGAGTGTCATTTCACAGAGGCCAGCATCAGAGCAGCGTCAGCGACACAGCTCGTTGTGCAAAATGGGGCCTCTTGTCGCAGCCACTCTTCTGTTTGTACAATGAAGCAAGACTGTTTTCGGGCTCTTCTGCTGGAAACACACTTGGCACTATTCAAATTACTCTTTTCATCTAATGAGCTAGTGATGCGATGGATTACACTTGCACACTGGCTTTCCGCTACAAAAGAGCCGGGTTAACTCTTTCATTGCCCCTCAAAATCGTTATTTTTCATATGTCTCGGGAAGATTGTTTTTGCCAGTTTGAAAAGTACTCCAGCACGCATTGCAGCATACCAAATTTTGCAATATGAAATGCTCTTTCGAAAAAATATAAGTTGTAAAGCAACAAAAACAATTTGGAATGAACAACAATGTGAAAAGTGAGCAGTTCTTGGTTCCCAGTTAATAGAAAGTACAACAAAGAAAACTATATAAGCAAAAATATTCAAAACAAAGAAAATTCAGAATATGTACATTTTGAAGATATGATGATGTGTGGTGTTTCATGGCACTAGGGCCACTTGATGGCCAAAGAGCGCCAGGTCATGGGTCAAGAGAAGCGAATAATGGTTATGATAGATGGCTGTATAAGGGCCTTAATATTCCTCGCGCTAACGCGGGTAAATACATAGAAGCATTAAAACCATGACAGCGACATGAAACATGTGTAGTGAAATCGAATACCCATTATGGGAAAGAAAAACTTGATTATGTACTCGCAACCACACTAAATGAACTAGAACAAAGAAATGTTGGCGTTCTTAACTTTACTAACAAAACCTTACTAGATCTGTTTATGTAAATGTAATAGAACTACTCATGTTTGTATATTTACATTAGCTGGTTTTACTAAAGTGATTATAACTTAAAACATACACTGATGTTTTTTTTTTCATTAGAACACCGTAGTCTACATAACTACTTTTGGTAATCGCATTGTACATATTGTGGCTATATAGACTTGTTAGATAGTTTGCCCTGTCACTACTGCTTTACGGGTGACCAGAGCTTAGTCAAGCTGCGCAAGCGCAGCTTTTTTCTCTGGTCCCCTATTTTCGCAGTGACAATGCGCTGTATTGTCTGAAGCGAAAATAAAATTTGATTTGATTGATTGATTGATTGAATGGCGAAAGATCGTAATAAAAGCATGGCAAAGATTTAGCCATCGCAGCAGCGACCTCACTTCACAGGTCGTGCTGCGGAAGGCCCGGGCATATGACATGAAAAGTACCTAGGTCTCTTAAAAATCCTAACAGCGATTTATGTGTAAAAAGTGGTTCCTTACCGACAAACATCGCAGGGTGAAATGAAAACTGTTGTGGAAAGTGTTGTTTTTTTAGCGTGTCCAATTCTTTGCACTGGATTAAAATGTGTAGCACTGTTAGTGTTTCGCCACATCTCTCACACAAGGATGGATCGCCACCAGACAACAAGTATGAATGTGTAGTGAATTTATTTCCTGTCCTTAGTCATGCAAGTGTTACTTCTGTGCATCCTGGTTTTGATAATGGCGGCCAATGGCCAAGTAGTGGCTTGATAACATGCAGTTTATTATGTGTGTGTCTGTCCCACGTGCTCTGCCAATAGGCCCTGAGCTTTTGTTTTAGAAAAGGTTTCAAGTCAAGTGCAGGAATCACTATTGATCTACTGGCAGCTGTTTCGTTGGCAGCTGCAGCTAAATGGTCCACCAAAACATTTCCTTGTATCTTGCGGTGCCCCGACACCCAGCAGACTATGACATATGTATTGAGTGTGCACACTGTGCACAGGATTGAGTAAAGGGAGATAAGAATGGGGTTTGTTTGCTTTTTGAGAGTTTCAAGGGCTTTCACAATGCTCAGGGAATCTGCGTAGATCACTGCGCTTTGTAACTTTAGTTGTTTTATGTGTTTAACAGCTACCAGTATAGCATAAGCCTCTGCTGTGAAAATGCTGGTAATCGGATACAGAATACCAGCGTCTAAAAAAGATGGACCGACTGCTGCATAGGAAACAGAAAGGCAGGTTTTTGAGGCATCAGTATAAAATTCTGGGCATGAGTATTTTTGCTGCAGTTCTAGGAAATGTGTATTAATATGTGCATTGGGCGCATGCTTGGTGACTTGTACAAAGGATATATCCAAGTCTATCAGTTGCCACTGCCAAGGCGAGACATATACAGCAGGAGCATCCAAGCCGTGTTCAAGAAGCGGTACACCCGTCTTATGGCAGGGCGGTTGTTAAACAGGACAGAACTGGACAAATCATTGATGGTGGAGTGTACGAGGTGTTCTTTGTTGGCAATCACCTTGTGGAAGTAGACAAAGAATTGGTAAGGTCGTTGCAAATGGAGAGACCATTCTTTCGAGTCAACGTACAAGCTTTCCATGGGGCTTGTGCGAAAAGCATCCGTGGAAAGAAGAATGCCTAGGTGATGAATAGGATCGAGCATCTTTAAGGCTATTGGTGTCGCAGAATATGCAGGTTATGGCCCCGTAATCTAGGTGTGTCCGTATGAGGCTTCTATACAAATCGATTAAATACTTTTTGTCGCTACCCCAGGTAGAGCATGATAAGACTAAGATAAGAACCCATAATAAAAGACTGCCATGATTCTTCCTTGTCATTAGCCACAGCCCAAGCAAGAAAGGAAAATAGGAGGAAAAGAACGGCAGGGAGGTTAACCAGCCTATAGGCAGCCGGTTTGCTACCCTGCACATGGGAGGGGGATGGGGGAGATGAAATATAGAGAGCAGAGAGGGAAGAAAGATAAACACAGCACATTCGGCAGCACACGCACGCACACTCAGTCATAGTCCAGTCTTGTCTTTCGCGGTGTGTGACATTGCAGTTACAGCCAAGTGCGCATAATGCCTTAGGAGTACCTCGCTTATCTGCATCATCACGAATAATGTCGTATTGGGTGCTTCCTATACTTCCTGAAAGTTACGATGGTTTATGGCGTAATTACTACCTAGCATGTGCACTTGTATTATTCGCCTGGAGAGAGTCTCCAAAGGGGCTCTGGAAAAAATGCTGCTCCGGCTTTCACTGTGACTGCGCAGTCCTCGAGATTTTACAGCAGAAGTTGTTATGAAATTATAACAAGGCTCGCATGCACCGTAGGTGTCCTCCGCTGCTGGTATCCGTAAGCACTGTCGTGCTAAGAAAACAACTTAGTAAAAAAAAAAAAAAAAAACCAAGGGCACAATGGTATTCGAACCCGGGTTCCCTGCATGCCAGCGCAGTATTCTACCGCGAAGGCATGCCACTTCTTTGCAAACTAGTCTAAAGCCGGCTTGATGTCAGGGAAAGGAATCGCGTTAACACAAGTAATAAAGCATTTTAGAACAGCAAAGGGCAAACCTGACATCAGACAGCATGAACTGCATAACGAGTTGGTCGCCGAATGCTCCCACCCATCACAAAGGCTTCAGGCATTAATTCTTCATCGTCGTCAGCCACAGCATATAAAATTGCACAAAATTTCTAGGAAGCGTGGAGCGGGTACCACGCTTCTCCGAAAAATGAAGGATCGCATAGCGAATGCCTGGTCAATCCCCACAGTAGGTATGAGCCACAAGAGAAGGTGAACGAGAGCCAGAACACCTGCCTCCTACACAAAAGTTGTGATTTATGGCGCAGTGTATACCCTGCAAGTGCGCTAGCAGTAGCTACTCAAGGAGTGTTAGAAAAGGCTCTGAAAGGCCGCTCTCCCATCTTTCACTGTGACAGTACTGCCCGTTCTGCGTGGACCTGGCATCATTTTTTTTTCTTCTTTTTTTGCATCTATCTTAAATTTTCACTCACAGAAAACGCTAATTTTTCTATCTTAACCCACGACACCGAAATTTCAGCGAAACGAGCTCTCACTGCACTAGGGGGCTTAGTTGTGCAGGTTGGTGCAGTAGCATATATAGTGAGTGCCCCCCCCCCCCAAATTTTTTCCGTCATATAATGGAGAGCACAAAATCACACTCGGCCACATCTGCTGGCCTGGCCCCCACTTCAGATCAAAGTGGTCTTCGTGCACAATTGGAGTCTTGTCTCTCATTGCCCATTAGCAGCAATTGGTGTCTTCCAGTAGGAAACACTAGTCCATCACTGCGTGCTTTGTGCCTCCCCAGGTTTCTCTCTCCTGCGCAACGCCACGATGAGCGCCAGCATCAACGCAGCCGCCAGTGTAAGCGTTAGCACCAGCTGGTTCGCAAATATCTACACATGCATGGTTCCTTTTAGCGAGACGTGGTTATTTTTTTTTTACAACTTTCCTCACTTTCCTCACTATACATGAAGCCTTATATGCAATGCTGACCACACCCACCTGCTTGATCTTTCGCAAGTATGTCTGGGGGAAGTACTTGTGGAAGTACTTTCGCAGGCGCCTCTGCTCAGGCCGGCTCATGCCCAGATGCAGGAGGTCATCTTCCTCGACGTACTTGAGCTGTCCGACCGAGACAACTTTGAGGTCGTTGCGTAGCGCGTCGTAGTACGATGAGAGCTCGGCCTCGAGCAAGAACTCGTAGAGGCTGGGGCCTCCGCCGCCACTCGAGCCCAAGCTGAAGGTGGATGCCGCCGACGGGAACGGCATGCCGCCCTTGCAGGTAAAACACATGGATATGCATAATAAGCACACGGTCAAAAACCACACGCATGATAACGGGTGACCGCATTGCCATGATTTCGGCGAACAGTCATAGAGAGAACACCCTTTTGGAAACACATAAAAAGAACGCTTAGTGAAAAATTCAGTATATCCCACTTACCTTGGGAATCGATGTTATGCAAAGCATGCGGATGTAAAATGACTATTGTAATTATGTTATTGAGTGAAACATTATGAAGCAGTGCTATGCAATGAAGTGGCACTTAAGCAATGTCCCACTGCTTAAGTGGGACATCGTCTCATAACATTATGTACAAATGCCGGCACAGACAGATGCTTAACAGCCGCATATGTTTTATGAAACCATGTTGTTTACAGTTGCATGACGCCAACAGCAACATGCATATTAGCAACACCAGAAGCGGAAATCTGATTTGAAGCACTCGTGCTCGCGAGGCTGGTAGCCCTGGACACTGCTACATGAATCAACTTGAGCGGATGGCACTTAACTAGAATTGAGATTTACCCGACAAGACAGATATATTCGATAGGAGTACATATATAATGTTTATAATATTCAATAGGCAGCACTGCAACCACAATTGATGTTTTGCGAACATTAGGGTCTATTCAAAATGTATTTCTGAAACCTGGCATGGCTCTGTGGTGGAATTTTCGATTGCCATGCAGAATGCTATGATTCGATTCCTTCCGAGACCCCGACATTTATTCTATGCATTCGTCGAACAACACTGCCGATGTCAGCTTTTTCTTTGCGCTCACGCAAAAAAGCTACCTGTGTAATGTTTTCAACATTGTTGGCTAGATACAAACTGTGAATCGCCAGTGAATCACCACATACCTGTGCCACATACCGGCTCGTGGTATAAGGGTATGTGCCATAGGTGTCCGAAGGAAATGGTTTGACGACGTACATGACAGGATTGTCGCATTCTTCATATTCGTCAAATTATTTTACCCTCCCATACTAATTTTGGTCCACCCCAACATAAGAGAGTGATCGAAAGCGTGCATGCATACACATGCACACACATACATAGACTCCAAAAGTGTTTGCAGTACACAAAGAAATTCTTCACATTTAAAAGCTCATGAATACCAAGCAATCAAATGAATGCCACCATATTGTCACGAGCAAAACAAGACCTACAGCCAGGAGTTCTCCTAAACCAGAGCAACGAAAATGTTACCCCCTCTCCCAAGAAGCATAGTTTTGATGCTGTACATGAAGGCAAAAAAAAAAAAAAGAAAATTACCATGCAAGCAAAATGAATGGCGTAAAGCGGAATAACGTAGTTGGTTGTGGAGTCAAGAGTTAAATGAGAAATAAGAAAAATAGGAAAGAATGTAAGGAAAAGACGAAACAAAAAGAAATACTCGAAGTTTCCAATAAAGTCAGTCACTCACTGGTGATTCACAGCGCGAAAAGTACGGTTTGAGCCGTGAAACGTGGATGACTTCAGTTTGCCGGGTGAAACGGGAACGTCTCGAAGTGCCTTCTGGGAGAAGCTGGTAAGTGACGTCGCTGAGACGCCGTATGACCTTGTAAGGGCCGAAGTAGTGGCAGAGAAGCTTTTCTGAACGGCCACACTGTCGGATAAGGGGCCACACCCAGACTTCATCACCAGGCTTGAAAATAACTTCATGGTGACTAAGATTGTAGCGGCGCGCGTCTGTGGTTTGGTGATGTTGAATACGATGACGAGCAAGTTGACGGGCCTCTTCAGCGCACTGCGCGAATTTGGCGGCATCCGTGTGGTATATTCCTAAGTTGTCAGGCAGGAGCATGGCGTCGCGCATCGTCGTCACCTCGCGATCGTGGACTAAGCGAAAAAGTGTGAAACCGGTACTTTCTTGAACAGCAGTGTTATACACAAAAGTTACCACGTAAGGAAGTATGGCGTCCCAGTTCTTGTGATCGATGTCCACATACATTGACAGCATGTCTGCGATTGTGCTATTGAGTCGTTCTGTCAGCCCGTTTGCTTCCGGGTGGTAAGCCGTTGTTTTACGATGTTCCGTGCCACTTTATCGCAAGACTTCCTGCAGCATCTCTGCGGTGAAAGCTGTCCCACAATCAGTTATGACGACAGCTGGCGCACCGTGACGTAAAATTGGGCGACGTCTGCTGCGGTGGTTTTTGAAAGTGCCTTTGTTTCACAGTAGTGTGTTAAGTAGTCGGTAGCGACCACAATCCACAGGTGGCCAGACGAAGACGTGGGGAATGACCCCAGCAAGTCCATGCCAATCTGATGAAAGGGTGCCTTTGGTGGGCCTATTGGTTGCAGTAGTCCCGCTGGTCGTAAAGGTGAAATCCTACGTCGCTGACAGTCCCGACATGTGCAAACGTAGTGCTTCCCAGTCTTTGCGAGACGTGGCCAGTAATAGGAGCGTTGAATCCGTTGCAGCGTGCGCGTATAGCCGAGGTGTCCGGACGATGGCTCATCATGACACGCATGTAAAATGCCACCACGAAGCGTAGTTGGGGCAACAAGCAGATACATAGCTTGTGTAGGATTAAAGTTCTTTTTATAAAGCACTCCATCGCGAAAGCTAAAGGAGGATAGTGAGCGTGCAAAGCTTCGAGGAGAATGGGCATTGCGTCCTTCCAGGTAGTCAATGAGCGGGATGAGCTCCGAGTCATGACGCTGTTGCTCAGCCAAGCGGGTTGCTGATACGGCAGAAGGAAAAGTGTCGTCGTCTTCAAGGTCAGTGTTGGCATTTTCGACCGGTGCACGTGAGAGACAGTCGGCGTCGGTGTGTTTCCGCCCAGATTTGTGGACGATGGCGACATCGAAATCTTGTAGCCGAAGGCTCTATCAAGCTAGACGAACTGAGGGATCTTTGAGATTTGCGAGCCAACAAAGAAAATGGTGGTCGCTAACTACCCTGAATGGGCGGCCATAGAAGTAGCCGTGTCGAAGCCTGAAGTACAGTAGCTGAAGCTTCTGGCTTCCCATGCTTTCAAACAAAATGGTCGACGCACATACAAAACAAGCAGTCAGGAAGGGAACGCTCAGCAGGCATGGCTTAGGTCCTCATCACCATCGTATCGTTGGTTTTCTCATAGGCTGACAAAAAAGATCGCGCCAGCTCTTCACTTTAACAGGCTGTGTTTACACGTTTACCAAATTGTGTGGATCATTTGATAAGATGCCGCTGCGACCACCTAGCTGCTTGTGATCACACGACCAGAAGCGCTCGCACTGCTCCATTGAAAGAGCTCAGAGCAGCTCGGAGCGCTCTACGAGAGTGTGCGATTGCGACTGAGTCCCGCGAGTCATTCTGGTAGTGAGCCCACCTCCTAGGACCCATCGTCCAACAAGTCAGCTCGTAAACGACCAAGACTTATTAACATGGTTAATAACTGAAGTAACTTGATCAAGTGATCATGAGTTCGTTGGAGAACTGAAAATATACAAAAGGTCTCCTGCTTATATAGCGACGCCTTGCTGGCCCTTGGGAGCATTGTCCGCAGCTTCAGCCAACACGGCGCTCGGTGGTCTACCCACGAAGGCGGGAAACGACACCACACAATGCACGTGTAGAGGGTAGTCTAAACGATGCCCAAATATGGTCACGAGTGCAGAACACCCACGTTTTGCACCCAACACCAACACTTTGCGCGCGTCCGAGTTACAAGAACTCTCTCCTCTCTCGGCAAGTAGGGTCATGTTCGAAAAGCTCGTGCCAAACTTGCCTGTCTGTCGGGTAGGATGGCTTATCGTCAAACATGCGGCTCCCTTTAGCCAATGCTTCGGAGAGAGTGGTCGACTAATCCCTGTTTTCTGTGACTTCGCTTCTCCTCAAAAGGTGTTGCTGCAACTGGTTTGGTTTTAGCTTCCAGCCCAAACACCAAATACCACACTGATTCAGCATGGTGGTGGTGAAAACATTTATTAAAACTATTTACAAGTGAGAGATAGGGGCAACCTCAATAACGGCGGTCTCACTCCAGCAGCACAAACACTTTTCTAACTGCCGCGGCGGCTGTTCTTGTTTTATATAGTTGACTTGTACATCATTGAAAAGCCTGATCTTTGTACATTTTAAATACGTCTATTAAAATCAAGTTAACCATTACTGTTTAGAAATGACAAAGCGAGAATAAGTGCTAGTTACGCGGTTTGGCTTTACTGTGCCTCAGTTGTGATAGTTTTCTGAAGAAGCTGCTATAGTTACAGCACTGTTTCTTTCACAGCCTATTCCAGGACATATTTATATATTTCTTCAACCTAGCAAATTCATGTAAGATTTCTACTTTATTGTTGGTCATCTTTTGAAAACAGCCAAATTTAGTTAATTCAGCTGTAGACTATCTGCTAACTACTCACTTGAAGAAATTCATTTTCAGGACATACATAGAAAAATAACATTCCCCATCAGAGTTCAATTTCATCTATTTATGCATTCTGGTTTATTAATTGTAGCAGTCTTAATAGGTCAATATTCTCAATACATGGACCTACCTCTGCCCACTTTCGTGGAAAGCTACTAAAGTTCTGTGAGATTTTGCACACAGACTAACTAGAGCCCCCGATGCATTTCCTCAATGTAGCGTTTTATAAATAAAGCTAGCATAAATGCGAAACGGAACTTGTGAATTGTCTCAATTCATCATGCCCCAAACGCCAACAAAACCGCAGTAATCTTCAAACTGCGTTGAAATCTCATCACGCCTAGCTTATTACGCAATAGTTCCTTTCTCCTTATATATTTATACACACGAATCACACACAAATACTGAATGACCAATGAGAAATTTGCATTATTATTATCACTACAACGAAAATCTTCCTCTGTTGCCAAATAGATGGACAAAACGAAAGGTACCTCGTGTCTTCGAAGGTAGTGTGCGAAAACATTTTGCCTATGAGGATAAAGTATTATCTATCTTGAAATCATGCACCCCCTTACCTTATTTCATCACCAAACTAGCCCCCACCGCCCACTTTCTGGACCCGTCTTCT